CCCAACGTACCAAAATCGGTCGAATCCGAGCCAAAGCAAGCCCAGATCAAACAATTAAACCAATTTGAAAAGATTTCTAGGCATAATTGGAAAGCCAAACAGACTCTGAATATGTCATGCATATAATCAAATCAAGACTTTGGACGATACAAATCAACAAGCCTAAGATTGCTCAATTCTGATATCATTAAGACACTAAAATGTCCACCTAATGTAGTCCGATCAAGAAGATTTCTCTCATATGTCTGATAAAGAGTGGTATGTATTCATTTTTTATTTGCAAACTAAAACTATAATTAGAGCCCTACTCCTCTCATGAGAAGTGGGTCTACACCTTGGGCAAGACAAAGACCATAGCTTGCAAAATAGGGAGCTGCAGCCCAGTATCTTGCACCACATATCCGACCAACTTTGGCTATTGCTACCGCTTCCGATCATCGTTGCCCATCGCTGGTCTTCTACGCTAGCAGCAGCCAACTATCATGGCCTCTCACTTCTGTAGTCGCTGACCAAAGAAGCTCGCTAACTTCTACCATTGATAGGCAACCTCTGGCTATCGTCGCCTCTGACAGCCACCAGCTTCACCTTCGACAACCGCTGCCTTTGAATCTGGCTAACTCATACTTCCACCACCTCTTGCCACGATGAGCTGTCAAACACCAACACTATTTCCAACCAGCTCCAAGTGTCCTCGCCTTTAGCCAACGTCAACCGCCACAACTCTCTGACCAAATTCTACAACCACCACCTCTGGCGAACTTCGATTGTCAACGCCTCTAGTACCTCTGGTGGTCGCCGTCTCTTACAGTCATTGCCTCTGACATTGTTGACCATCATCTATCACCACCTGCTCCTTATAGCGAATTCCCTAACAAAGTTGCAATGTACACTGTGGAACCTCGACATACATTGCAAAGTAGCAACTCCTCCCACTTATGGTGCGATGACAACCCCCAAAGATGGCATACAATACACCTCAAAGATAATGATTTTCTCCGTACTCTTAAAGCTCTCTTCGTGCAGCTATCGACTCCCACCCCTTTGCTTATAGATGTTATTTCAACTCACTATTACGACCTACATGAATACTTATTGCCAACATCTTTCACAACTCATGTAGCTTTTGACTCCAACACCCTTGCACTGCCTACAAATGTCATCATAGCTCATCATTATGACCAACGTGACAGGCTACAACATACGTGGTCCATATCTCATGTAGCTACCTACTCCTACCCCCGCGACCCACAGATGTCATCACAACTCATTTCTATAGCCTAAATGACCAACTATGGCCTACGAGGCACACAACTCATGTAGCTCTCAACTTCGGCTCCTACAGTATATGAATTTCATTACAACTCACCACTACAGCCTACGTGACCACTACAAAAAAAAACCCAATTAACATCTAAAAATTTTGATGCTAATAGGTTAGTTTTCTGATGTTGTTCATATTAGTGTCAGAATAGCGTTACTTTTTTTCTGACGTTAAAATGAGAGTCGCTAATTTATTTTCCATCGACATTAACGTCGAATTTTAATTTGCATTCGCATTAGCATCGAAAACAATAGTCCTAAAAAATACCATCAAATATGTCAACAGCGATGAAGTAGTGACGCTATTGCGTCGAAAAGGGTTGACATTAATCTGCATCCAACAAGTCTGACGCTTGACGCTATTACGTTGTTTTAGTGACGATTTAATCATTGGCTGATTGTAGGTTTTAGTGTCATAATTTTTCAAAGCTAATCCGACTCTAACTTGTATAAAACCAAAAAAAAAAAACAACAAAATAAATAGATTTCCACATATGTGCACATAACAAACGCAATCAACATAATATGATATTTATCTATCAACACAACTCATAAAAGAAATCTCCAACATACACATATTGATTCCAAATCGGATTAAATATAAATGGATTAAAGTATTCAAAATTCACAATACAAGAAAATGAAAGTTCGTACAATACAAAAATGAAAAAAAATTAAGTTCATCCCCTATGTCGGGGAAACATCATCAAACACAGAAAAAACCTAATCATTCTTATCTTCATTCTGCTGCTCCTACTCCTAGACCGGATGCATGTGTCACTTGCTTTGAAGATCGAACTCTCCGTCAAGCATGCTAGGCTATTTGCAACGAGTTGCTGGCCTTCAGATTTTTTGCATTAGGGTCATTGGATTATAGCAAAATTACATCAGTTTGTTGGTGATATGGCAAAGGTAATCTCTAAAATCCTAATAAATGATAACAAGAGAGATTCTCCTATGTGGAAAAATAAAAAAAAAACATGCCTATTGCTCAAATATTATATTATGGAATGCAACATTTTGATAAATGAAATTGGGGAAACAAAATTTGGGATAAATTCCTATCCCCCTCAATATCCTTTTTTCTTTGGCTTCTATTTCATAAATTATTACCTTTGGATGATATTCTTAATCTAAAAGGGTTAAGATTAGCCTCTAAATGTTATTTATGCAGTATGGCAGATGAGAATGTAATGCATCTTTTTTCATATTGCTCTTACGCTAGAGAAGTATGGGCTTTGCTTGGGGAACATTTCGGTATGCCAAATTGTTGTTGGAATTCCTTTAAGGAAATTGTTTCTATATGGGATTCTAGCTTTGGAAAAAGCTTAGGTGTTTTCTTTTGATCGTCCTATGGTTTATTTAGGTTGCTAGAAACAATTTTAAACATAAATTATCTACTTATACCATTAAAGTAATGGTGGCTCAAATTCTATCCTATTTGGCTAAAGCAAGGCGTTGTTTATCACCATCTATTACCTCTACTAACCCAAAGGGGAATTGGATGCCGACATTAATATGTTGGTAGCCTCCCTCTTGTGGATGAGTAAGGTAAATATAGATGGGAGATGGACTAAGATAAGGGTTGGTGCTGGAGGTGTTTTTAGAGATCACTTGGGGCATTGTTTATATTATTTCTCCTCCTATAAGTGTCTCTTCTTCAATTGAAGCTGAAGGGTGGGATGTACTCTTGCATTATCTATTGTCAGAATATTTAAATGGTAAAAATTTATTATAGAAACAGATTCTGTTAATATTTTAGATTATATAGAAAAAAGGAGGGAGCCTGTGTGGAATATTTTGGTATGTTTAAAGAAAATTTGGCATATTATGGAAACTCAAAAAATAAATATTATGTGGAGTTTGCTTAGTTAAGAGAGTTCATTTGGGCGTGTAAGTTGGTATTCATCCACTTAGAGATCTCAAAATTCTTCTTCACGGAGATCTTATGGATCTTCCTTGTATCAGATATTAAATTCAGAGGCTAAGTAAACGATTTTGGAGAGAATTGGGGCCTTTTGAGTTGCATTCGAGAAGACTTTGATGAACCGAATGGGATGTTACATAGAGTTTATTATGAGGGAAGTGGAGACGAGTGTAATATTTATCTATACCAAAATATTTAAATTATACATTGTTACTGCTTATTGTATTTTCTGAACAGGTAATTGGATTTTAAGGGAGACATAGCAAAGTATAAAGTTTGAAAGGATAGTAAGGAGCTGAAGATTGAAGGGAGCATAATTTTGATGATCTGTATGAAGTAGAACAGCAAATTGGATGTTGTGGGACTATGAAGAATTGAATGGAACTCTTTTTAATATACAATGGAATGTGACAAAGCTGGAATTGATGGTATAATAATTGATGCAAGATCCTTCTATTCAAACTGACATCTGTTTGGAGATGTTGGTGTGATCATGATTATTATAGAATGATATTGGTTTCTGTTTAAAGGTTACAAGAACTAAGGAGGGCCAACATCTCATCTAGGCGTTACAAAGCTTTTTTCAAATTTACGTAGTGGATTTCATTTTAACAATAAGCTCTTAGACTCTTTTTTTTTGAATTTTTTAGTGTTTGTTTTATCTTTGGGTCAGGAGACCATATATTTGGTCCTTTTTATCTTATTTTCTGTAATTTCATCCTTTATTAATAACAGTCCCTATGGCCTTTTAAAATAAAATAAATAGATAATGCATGGTATTTTATATGAAAAGTATATATAACCCTATATATATATATACTTTTCATATAAAATACCATGCATTATCTATTTATTTTATTTTACACCTTCAAATATTTTAATTGAGTGCTCCCATGCCATGCACTAGCCAGCCCAGACTCACTCGTAAACTCGTGAGGTGGCTTGTTTAAAAATTAGTTAATAAAAAATATTCTTAAAATATATTTAAATTCACAAAAATTTTTAAATATTATTAAAAAAGTTTAAACAAAACTATATTTACATTTCTATATCAAGTGATTTCGTATTCATTATCTCCTATGTGCTTATACTATTTGTCATTTCATTATAACACTAGTTTGAAGTAAATTTTTTTTTATCCTTTTCATACTAAACATGCCGTCTCAAAGTTGCAGAATTATTCTCAAAATCAAGCTTGAACTCGATCAAATTAATCAAACTCAGGCTCAAGTCGTGGGTGGCTTGAGCTCAACTCTGGCTCATTTACACCCCCTAATTGAGAATGAATGATATAATACTTTGTTAATCGACTTTTTCGATATCGGAGTTATATTATTTAAATTTGTTGATTTTTCAATCAAGTTTACGAATTAAAAAATATTGCGTACATTTATTTAAAATTTTTTTATTTTTAAATTTGATTGAGTTCTAATTAAGATTAACTAATTATATGTTAAATTAGTACAAAAAGAATGTAATTATTTTTAAATGAATCCACAGGAGCGCTATTGATTTAATAATAAACAAAGACTGCCTCCGACGTTGGTCATTTTTTTATCTGGAGCTTTAAGAATTTTCAAATTTATTTAATTATTTAAATATATTTAGAAAATTAATCTAATTATAAATCAACTTATGTTTTCTAAATCATCAGCCCATATCTATGCTATAAATTCGGTACTATTGAAGGGAACTCAAAGTCACAACAGGTATAGTTTTCTGTTCCTCTCTTCTGTCTTTTCTTTTTTTCTTCGACTCTAGATCTGTAACAAGAAATTTCAGCTCTAAAACTTAGTTAACAGAAGATTTCTGCTATCATTTACTTTGCTGGCATGAATCAATATTAATTTTATGTTTCATTCATAGCCTCCACAACTTAAATTGCAGGCAAGCTTGAATTTTGACATGAAAACTTTATTTTCCTTAAAATCTCCACTGAATTCGGTGAACTCATTGTATACAAGTAACATGCACAAAACATGAATTGTTTTCTAAAGTTATACTGTTTTGACCATAACCATGCAGATTGTGGAGACGAGTTCTATCTAGAGGAGATTATGACCATGATTGTGGAGCAGGTCTTTTCAATGATGGGAGGTAGCGGAGAGAACAGCTACGCTAAAAACTCCAGGCTTCAAGTATATATGCTCTTTGATTTATCTGCTACTACATTTCATAAACTCAATTTGTTATAATTGCTTAAAGTTGCCTACTTTCTGGTGATTGATATATAGGAGAAGGCAGTGATTATGACAAAACCATTAGTGGAAGAAGCCGTAAGAGAAATATGTAAAACTCTCCCAGAAAAGCTTGTTGTGGCAGACTTGGGATGCTCCTCTGGTCCCAACACATTACTCCTGCTCTCTCAGATCATCAATACTGTGGATGAGTATTGCTGTAGCTTGAGCCGGCAAAAGCCTGAGATCCAATTTTATCTTAATGATCTTCCTGACAATGACTTCAACACTATGTTCCAATTATCGGTGCAATATCAGAAGAAATTTAGAGAAGAGAAAGGGGATAAGTATGAACCATTCTATGTTGTTGGATCCCCTGGTTCGTTTTATAAAAGGTTATTTCCTTCAAAAAGTGTGCAGCTTTTCCACTCCTCATACAGCCTCATGTGGTTATCTCAGGTTCGTCTATATCTTCTTCATATATGGAATGGAGAAGCCATAAACAAATAATAAAGGAGAAGTACAATATATTTTAAATTGGCATGAAGACATCTACAGAGTACATAAAGCGTTCAGAAATAAGAATGATATTAAAAAGTAACCAAATAAGATTGTTTAAAATATGTTATTTTTCCGAAGCTTGTAAGAAGTTAGGCAAAAATTTTGAGTAAACATGTAAAGATTTACCTTCTAAGACATTCTTATGGAATGTTATATATTATACATAAATATTCTGCATATGATTTGCAATCCATGCATTATTTTCTCCAAATTAACTTAAGCTTATGTTAGGTACCTAAAGGGCTAAAGGATGAAGCCTTTGACCACTTTAATAGGACTGCCATATATATCAATAATGAAAGCTCTTCAATCTTGTCGCATTTGTACTTAGAACAATTTAAAACAGACTTCTCGGATTTCCTCAAATCCCGTTCTAAGGAGCTTATTTCTGGAGGGAGCATGATCTTATCATTTTTGGGAAGAAGTGACATTCAATCTAGCGGTGAATTAATATACTTATGGGGACTTCTTGCTGAAGCACTAAGTGCAATGGTTTCTGAGGTAGATATTAATCTTATCAATTTTTTTCTCTAAGATAGTCTTTCCTTTTTGTTTGCATGTTGCCATTTATGAATTGTTCCATTTCCATACATTCTAATGAAAAGTGCTACTTCAAATAGGAAATTATATATTTGTCTTTCAACAAAATATTTGGATAGATTATTGATTGAGTCATCAAATTCCATCATTCAGCCTGGATCATGCATGTTTTAGTCAACTTTTTATTTTATTTTATTTCATCGACTAGTTTTATTTGTTCTCTCAAGTGGTACTAGAAAAAGAACAGTAATACATATATTTTCAATCTTTTCTTGGGCTATTGATAACAATCACTTAATTAGCTTTTTTTAAGTACTATGAAACAACCAAAACTTATAAAGAGATTTTAAAGTTATTTATGTTAAACATTGTCCACATTTATGTTAAATATGTTAGTGTAATTATCTTTTATTAGTGCAAAATAAAAATTAATACTTATGAAATGATTGCTTATTTTCTTATGTTTCGAAGAGAACAAAGTGTGTACTTTATTAAAAATAAAATTAAGCAATATGTAAAGAAAATAACTATTCTTGTTACATGCTACATATGGTATGTAGTTAAATTGTCCATGAATACTCATATTTTTACATATCAAGCACTAAAACATTCATATTTATATGCAATGCCACTCAAATATTTGACATCGCATTAGGTTTTTAAAAGTTAATTACAAAATTTCTTGCATAAGTTTCTAATAACAAATAATAAATATAAAACTTCAGGTGTTATAAATGTAAATACATAAGAACTGTTTGTTATGTATGTAAATTTCCCATCCAAATATTTTTTTAGCACATCTATTTCTGCTAAAAAAATCTACATATGCTTACATATACTATAGATTAATCCATCATCTAGGATTGATCTCAGTAACTACTTAATGTATTGACCTTACTACACAAGAAGCTTCCTTATAATGTTATCTTGTTGAATGCAGGGACTAGTGGAAGAAGATAAACTAAAAGACTTTAATTTACCAATCTATGCACCATTGATGGAAGAAGTGAGATCTATCATCACTATGGAAGGATCATTTCATCTTAAACAAGCACAATCTTTTGAGTCAAATTGGGATCCTTTTGATGAATCATATGAAAATTTTGTGGAAGACAAAAGCTCGAGTGGAAGAAACGTTGCAAAATACATAAGAGCAGTGGTAGGACCTCTAGCAGCATCTCATTTTGGAGATGACATTTTAGAAGATTTATTTTCACGTTATGCGAAAAATGTTTCAAGGCACATGTATAATGGGAAACCAAAGTACACTGTATTCATTCTTGTTTTGAAATTAAAAGGTGAAGTGCAAGCACATCGTGGATGCAAATAAATGCAATATATAAGTGAAGATGGTTTGGTGAGCAATCTTAATGCTTCAGAGTAGAACAAAATAAAATTTATTGTTCTCCCAAGCAAATAATGATTTGATTGTCAAACTTTAAAAGAAGAATAAATGGAAACATATACCCCTTACTATTCTCATGTATCCATCATCCTCAACTTGGAATAAAATAAATGTTTTCTTTGGTTTTATTGTGCAATGGATTGCTTCATTACTTTTATTTCTCTCAAAGTACTTTCTAACACCAATTGTTATCAGTATAGTTAATGGTTTTTTTTTTTTTTGGGTCCAAAAAACTAGATTGCAACAATAGTTGAGAGGAAGAAGCGTGAATCTTTATTTGCTAGAGTGCATTAGGTCATAGATGTTACAAAATAAAAATGCCTAATGAAGAAAAAGTTTGAAATACCCATGTGATTGGGGCTCATAAAGAGCCCGTCAGGAAAATGTCATCTGTTGTGATAGTCGAACATCAACGCAAACAAAACATGTGTGCTGAGCATCAAGCAATGACAAGTGGATCGCAATACAAGGAATTCACTTGCAAATGAAGCCGACGAAAATGAATACAAATATATAGGACAAAGACATATGAAGATAAGGGAACCTGTTAGAAAGGGAAAATGTGTTACATTTGATGTGCAGTACTCCTGGGGATCCACCATAAATAGGATACACAAGTAATGAGTTCTAAGAAAGAAGACGTGGATTGGCAAACTTCATGATAGTCGACACTTTGGAGAATCCTCCAAGGGATCCGAACTATGCTACCTCCTTGAGAAAAAGAGGCCAAATTTTACCTTAATCGTTGTATTGTAGAACTTTTTGGTCTCCATGTTAAGTAAGAAATATTGTGGAGATGGCGCTCAAAGATTGAGGCTAAGAAAAATAATTAAGAATAAGAGGAAGCTATGGAAGTTGAGGTGGTATATATGGATTTTGTGGTTAATTATTTTTCCTATACCTTTTCTTCATTAGGCATATATATTCTTTTCTTTTAATTAAGATGAATATGCTCTCTCTTTTACTTAACATAAGAAGCTTAATTATTTTTCCTATACCTTCATCAACTACAGATTTTGTGGTTTAACCTAAAGTCACATATAGTGGAGCTTCCTAACCATACATTCTAACTTGCATAAAGGTAAATTCATCCAACTTGCAAGAAAATAAAAACGCCATCAACTCATGCATAAATACGCTCATACATTCACATATATTTGGTGCAACATACAAGATAGACAATTATGCAATCACACAGATCACATTTTCACCAAACTTTTCTCTTTTTCGTTTTCTTTTCTTTGTACATATACACATACACCACTTTATATTATATGGACCAACAAAATATATACGAATCCATGGGCATACCATATATATTCCTTTTTGCATGAAATAAATACATAGAGCTTTTGTATATTTATTTTCTTATTTTTGAAATAGAGATATATATACATACATTTGGCTATTAGACGAGCCCTGACCATCCCTAGGTGTGTTGTATATCTGTGTGTACATATATATATATATATATACACACACAAATTTATCTAATTCACTTGGCTTATGTGTTATATTATAAAACTATTTTGGTTATATATCTTTGAAACATAGACTACTTTTGCTGGTTTAAAAACAACCGCGGCACGGAAAAAATTTGCGTACATCAAGGGGTACGTAGAGATACGTACATAATAGGGTACACGGGGTTTATACGAGGATTACAAGAGGGTTATAACCCGTTGTACCTCCCGTGTAACTCCCGTGTTTTATGAAATAAAGGTTTAATGAGTTAATTAATATTTATGTTGATTAAGTATTTTATGAGTTAATTATACATTTTATGAGTTATTTAATTATTTTAATGATTTAATTAAATGCTTTGTGTTTTTTAGTTATGTTATGAGTTTATTAATTATTAAATGAGTGAATTAATAATTTTAATAAATTAATTAAATTAGTTAAAGTATTAATTAATTAAATTTTTGTAAATTGACTTATTATTTTAAAGGTTGATTAAATGTTTAGTGAGTTAATTATTTTGTTTACAGATTAATTAAATGATTTTTAAATTATTAAATTATTTAGTTGATTATTTTATAGATTAATTAAAGTTTTATGTGATTAATTAAAATTTTTAATACACTAATTAAAGATTTTATGGGCTAATTAAAATTTTAATGGGTTAATTAAAGTTTTAATTAATTTAATTAAGAAATTAATTATTAATTAAATTTTTTTATGTTAGTTAATTTTAAATTGATTAATTATGTGTTTAGCGGTTTATTTAGGTAATTAATATTTCACCAATGTTATCAATGATTTAATTAAATAATTAATGTTTTAGATAGGTTATTATTAATCTAATTAATTGATTAATAACTTAACTAAGTGATTATTGATTCTATTAATTAATTAGTGGCTTAATTACTTGATTAATAGTTTAATTAGAACATTAGTGATTTAATTAAATGTTTTATGATTTATTCAAGTTTATGCTTTATTTTGGTGGTTTATGATTAATAAATTAATTAAATATTTGATTAAGTGACCTAAATTCCTGATTAGGAATAATTAATTGTCATTAAGGTTTCGATTTAGGGAGATTAAGGATTTTCTCATGGTTTAATAGGAAATTAGTGTATTATACTAATTAATATTAGAAGTTAATTATGGAATTAGGCTTGTTTAAGGGGTGATTAGGGGTTTAACCCATGGTTTGAGGGTAATTAGAGAATTAGACTTAAGATTAGAATGTAATTATTGTTTCAGGGTTGGGTTAATAAGTAGAGCTAAAGTTAGGCTCATGGTTTGATTGTTTTTATAGGTTTAATCACACGATTTTATGGAATTAAGTGATTAAAGGTCTCGGTTTAATGTTGTGGAGGGATTTTGCTTCTTTGAATTGGTTAGAAAGAAGAGAAATTCTGCTAATTGCATACATTAACACTATACCAACATAATATATTGCATTGACAATAAAAACCCTATGAATTAGACATGCAAAATGTAATAACGTTAACATAGAGCATAAAAAGAGTAAAAGCCCTCATTCTAACTTGTGACATGCAACATAAGCGACATAAAACATGAAACAAACAAAAGTCCGAAAATTTCTAACATGTAACAAACAAAAGTCCTAAAATTTCTAACATGTAGCATGGAACATAAGGTGATAAAACATGAAAGGGAAAAAAGCCTAAAATTTCTAACTTGTGACATGGATTTAATATTGTTGGCATCAAATTTTGATGTCACAAAAGTTTGGAAGTTCTCTTGAAAGTTATGGGAGCGGTTAATGTGCATCCGTAACCTCTTGTAACTCGAACACTCCATAATACCCTCCGGCACATGTTGAATGGCACATCGCCGAAGTCATTTTGTTGGACTGATTATCGCTTAGGCGAAGGCCTACCAACATTTGTCTGTCAAAGGGCTTCGACCAGGCTAACAGATCTCGTTCAACACAACACATGCAAATCAAACAAAAATTGGCTTGATCGTCAACAAATTTTTCCAGACGACTTCAGATCGCAAAACAGGTCGCACTAATGCGTCTGTAACACTGATTTCATCTAGGGAGGATACCCATATTGCTAAAGTTCCATGCATGATCGAGTAACACACAAATTAATGTTTTTTATTATTAAAAAGGGTTTAATATATATATATATATATAGATATATATATATTGTCCAGTTGGTAGGCAGGGTCACTGTAAGTCCCCGCAAGGGGTCGATCCCTACCGTGCTATTTTTTTTCTTAATCAAGGGCATGATCCAGGGCCCGACCTCATCTCCCCTACTGTTGTTTCACGAAGATTCTTCCTACTAGGGGTCTTTAAATTTTAGCCAATCAATCGGAGGCGAGCCCCTTATCGCTTCATGCAGATAAGACAGTTTGGTACACTTCTCTATCACCTACCCTAGGTTTGTAGTGAGATCACTAGGGCAAGTATGCTTCGTCATTGAATTCGATTGGATCTCATTTTATGTATGTGTTTATATTCTTAGGTTATGCTTTGGTTGATTTATAAAATTGCATCATAATGTCTTATTTCTTGTGCATGTTTGATCGACCATATATCCCGCCCACCTCGATCAGCTTGTCCCGTCGAATCGATTGATCGCATCTACGCTCGATCGGCTTGACCGACTATTGGCATCAATTTTTGAATTCACATTTATAGGATTTCTATTTGAATGATTTGGGATGAATTGGATATTCATACCATCTTGAAGCACAAGATATCCATCTGGACCTCCCAGTACGTGCCATGGACATGGAATCAGGATCAATACAGATTTTTGCCCTACTAATGAAATTTTTTTGTGGGATGAGATTGGCTTTTGCTCGAGACATGTTTAACACTTATCTCAATGTTTAGAGATCTCGACCAACTGAAGTCACAAGACTTGCATGCGGGCATTATTGGGTAAGAAATAAGGTTTCAAACCACTTTGCATCGCTCGTAGATGACTGTTATTCAAAGGGTTATTCTGGTTTTAAGACTTGTCCATGGGCCTTCTTTGATGGTGAGAGATCATTTCCCATCTATTCAGATTTCCCATCTATTCAGGTCCTTCCGAGGTAGCGCTCTGATACTTGCCATGCTCTGATTACCGAACCCTAGTTTTGATACCAAATGGCCCATTTCCGAGCTCAAGACGAAACATGATGTAATTATGCCACCAAAGTGGTGTAGCCAAGCCAAGATACCAACATGACCACGTTAGTTTTGTGTGTGGTCACGCCACCCTTCAGAATTTTATAGCTTTAAGACCTTCGGAGATCTAAGAAAGGGAGTAAGGGTGTGTTCATTAGGAGATCTACATCTCAAAAGAGAGATGTTTCTTCTTGCTTCGGAGAAGAAGGAAGAGCAACCATCGCCTTTCATAGGGAGAGCTTCATTCACCCATAGGAGAAGGGGAAAGAGATCTAAATCTCCTAAGAGGGAGAGCTTCTTCTTTCTTTGGAGACGGAGAAAGTGGTCCACCTCTTCTATCAGAGAAGAGCTTCATCCTGCGAAAGAAACGCAAAATCAACTGTCACGAAAGTGAAGATTCTTGGAAAAACTTATATTTCTCTTTTCTTCGATCCCCTTAGGTTGGTTGTTAGAGATATAAGGATTAGGGATTTTAATGCTAGAGAGAGGCCTTCTAGGTTGGGAAGCTTCAAATA